GTCGGAGAGGCCAAGGCACTGAAGGAGAGGTGGGGCTTCGGTGGTTTCCCAGTCACTGGTAAGTCAGACTCTACACTCTTATCCCCGTGTTTGCTTTATGATGATTACCTTTTCAATTTAACTTTCGTTCATCCGCAACGATTCCGTCGTACTGTGGAGAAAATGTATCTGAAATGCCTCACAAACGCTACGCTTTGTCAATTTTGGCGAGATGCATTCGCTGACAGTTGACTATAGAGAACGGCACCCTCCGCTCCAAGCTCGTCGGTATCATTACCCCCCGAGACATCCAATTCCACGACAAGCTGGACGACCCGGTCACCGCAGTCATGTCCACGGACCTCGTAACCGCCCGCCACGGTGTTGAGCTCAAGGAGGCCAACGATATCCTGAACAAGTCCAAGAAGGGAAAGCTTCCCATCGTGGATGAGAGCTTCAACCTGATTGCGCTCCTGTCTCGCTCCGACTTGATGAAGAACCTCAACTTCCCGCTTGCGTCCAAGCTCCCACACTCCAAGCAGCTGATCGCCGCGGCTGCCATCGGCACCCGACCTGAGGACAAGATTCGTCTGCAGAAGCTCGTCGATGCCGGTCTCGACATCGTCATCCTCGACAGCAGTCAGGGAAACAGCATGTACCAGATCGAGATGATCAAGTACATCAAGGAGAAGTACTCTCAGCTCGACGTGATTGGCGGAAACGTCGTCACTCGCGAGCAGGCTGCTGGTCTCATCGCCGCTGGTGTAGACGGTCTCCGTATCGGCATGGGTAGCGGAAGTGCTTGCATTACACAAGAAGTCATGGCTGTCGGAAGACCACAGGCCACTTCGGTGTACAATGTCACCTCTTTCGCATCGCGCTTCGGCGTGCCTTGCATTGCGGATGGTGGTATCCAGAACGTAGGACACATCGTCAAGGGTCTTGCCATGGGTGCATCAGCCGTCATGATGGGAGGTCTCCTCGCCGGTACCACTGAGTCTCCTGGTGAGTACTTTGTCAGCCGCGATGGTCAGCTCGTCAAAGCCTACCGTGGTATGGGCAGTATCGCCGCCATGGAGGACAAGAAGGCTGGTGCTGGCGCTGCCGACTCTAAGGCCAGTAACGCTGGTACCGCGCGCTACTTCTCCGAGGGTGACCGCGTGCTGGTTGCCCAAGGTGTGTCTGGATCCGTCCAGGACCGTGGCTCGATCACCAAGTTCGTGCCCTACCTCATGGCTGGTGTTCAGCACTCGCTGCAGGACATTGGTATCAAGAGTCTTACCGAGCTTCACGAGGGTGTTGCCAACGGCACCGTCAGGTTCGAGTTGCGCACTGCTAGCGCACAGGCTGAGGGTAACGTGCACGGTCTGCACAGCTTCGACAAGAAGCTCTACTCATAGACGATTGAAGATGATATACGGAATGCATTGGGAGGGCGTTAGTGGGTGGTTGGCTGGGTTGCTAGGTTCCCTCATTAGACATGCGACACGAAGACGATTTATGTTCTTATTTTGGAGCAATGGATAGGCCAAAAGCAATGATACCACGAACTATGTTTATTTACGATCAAACTCAAGAAATGTCTTCTGTTGAGTGACGCGAAGCGCTGCCGGAGTTCAGTCGGTGTGCCGACTCTTGGGCACCCTGTCACTGCTCGAGCTACCTCCTAACCTCGGCAGCTCCCCGCGCATCAACACCAACCACATGCAAGCCATCATGACGCGCCGACCGCCATTGTCGGCTCCCTTTGTCGCCGGATATGCCAAAGCTGAGTTCCACTGCTCTCCTCCTGGCTAAAGGTAGATCGACTGCGGTACGCTCCTATCGCTCTGCACGCCCCGTCGCCGCAAGCTCATCGTTCTCGATATTGCAGGCGAAGCTCGGTGCGCGATCGTCAGCGTCACTACGAACTGCTTCCTATCCGAAGCCTGCTCAACTCTCCAAGACCGGCTTCCAAAAGCGCAGCATGTCTTCGCCCGCAGATCACAAGCCGTCGAAGCAGGCGTCAAAGGCACCACAGGTTCCACGGCCTAGCTCGAGGTATGCGATTACCACGATATCTATCGATATCGAAATGCTAACACGTATAGCGTCCTGCTCATTTCCCCTACAAACCAGGTCCTGCTCCTCCACCGCGTATCGAAAGCCTCTAGTTTCGCATCGGCCCATGTCTTCCCCGGCGGCGCCCTCTCCAAAACCCACGACGGCGAGATCCCCGACGAAGACCACCCAGGAAGACATCAAGATGGCCCCGCGTATCGCATGGCAGCCGTACGGGAGACATTCGAGGAATGCGGCATCCTACTCGCCAAGAGCAAAAAGACAGGGAAGCTATTCACCGAGATAAGCGACGAAGAACGAGAGCAAGGCCGAAGAGATGTACACGGTGGAAAAGTCAAGTTTGGAGACTTGTTGGAGAAATGGGGTGCAGTTCCCGATACCCAAGCCCTGATTCCGTTTACTCGCTGGGTAACGCCTCCCAACGTGCCTAAGCGCTTCACCACGCAAATGTACATCTACTTCTTGCCCCTTGGCTCCGTATCGCCGACGAAACACGCTGCGCCCAAGGGTACACCGCCGTCTTCGGGACTGGGAGAGGAGGACGAGATTGTCATACCCAAACCTACACACGATGGTGGTATTGAGCACACCGCTGCCCGCTTCCTGCCACCCAACAAATGGATCGACCTGGCGCGGCAAAACAGGATTATCCTATTCCCACCACAGTTCTTGCTTACCTTGCTGCTGGCTCCGTACCTAGCATCAAGTGTCACATCACCCTCTTCGCCCACACCTAGTCTGGCGGAGCTACAACTCGAGCGCGAGAAATGTCTTGACTTCCTGCAAAAGCCGCGCATGTACGACGGGAAGCCTGAGGTGTCTTTTGCTGAAGCTTGCATATCTCCACTTGCTCTGGGAAAAGGAGAGTACGGGCAGGCTGGGCAAGATGGGGTTGGCGGCGTAGATAAGAACACTGCTGTTTTGGTGCTTGATCGGCCGGGAAAAGAGGTTGAAAGCCAGGGACAGGGGAGAGCGGGACTCAGGGAATGGGTTGTTACAACGAAGTTTAAGAAGGAAGGGCCACGGGATGTGGATGTTCGGAGGAGGGAGGAGGTGTTGCGGAACAAGATACAGGGGAAGCTATAGGTTGGCTATAGAATGGATAGCTTGCTCGATCCTAGGCTTCGGGTCGATTCCTGGGCGTCGAGCGAGCTTGAGATTTCATCTGTGTCTTCCTCACTATTTACCTGCGCAGTTTGTTACACGCCAGGGTATAGTACAATACGTTACGTGCGTAGAGTAGATGCAAGAGGGGTTGCCAGTCCGTGATTAATGATATCGGAGGAATCCCAGGTGCCCAGCTTCCGATCATCCCATCCGGCCAATCTCGGCTATGCACCAAAAGCGAATACCGAAAAGTCGCATCATCGACGTCGCCAACAACCTCCAGGGCTAGATCTACTCCACCCAGCACACTAAACTCCACATTCGTCATTATTAATGCCAGCTCCACATATTCGCGTCTGTGATGTCGGACGACGGACGGTGGAATGTTCAGGATCATGTTGTTTGGATATAAAAATACTTGGGAGCCCCGCCTCATTTTGGGGGGTACCTTTGCCTACATAACTTGACGGCACATTGTACCCTTTGACTATCTTAATTTATCTACGCATTTTGAAGAGAACCTGTAAAGGAAAGAGTTATCACGATGAAGGAAGCACAAGTAGCAAAAGACCTTTCGGTCACCATCAAGGATGTCGCTGTCCCCGAGCCACAAGCCAACCAGGTCGTCATCAAGGTGGTCTATTCGGGCAGTAACCCCAAAGACTGGTATGTCTACTTCCCGGTTCCCGTTACTACCCAAGTACTTGCACGATACAATGTCCACGTGACCTACCTCTCACTCTAATATCTCTCCTTTCAATCGATCCTCCGTTAACACATCCTCCAGGAAGATCCCCGCCTACGACATGAAACCCAACTTCAACACCGGTGACGACATCGCCGGCTACGTCCACAGCGTCGGCGCCAACGTATACGAGTTCAAGCCCGGAGACCGCGTCGCTTCCTTCCATGAGATGATGACACCGGGTGGTTCCTTCGCCGAGTACGCAGTAGGCTGGGCCCACACCACCTTCCACATCCCATCATCTGTTTCATTTGAGCAAGCCGCTACGCTACCCCTCGCCGCCATGACAGCAGCCATCGGACTGCACCAACGCATGGGTCTGCCCGACCCGTGGACTCCGGCGCAAGAACCCACACCGCTTGTTGTGTACGGTGGTGCGAGTGCAGTGGGCGCTTACGCGATTAAACTAGCATCGCGCGCAAACATCCATCCCATCATCGCCGTAGCAGGAAAAGGAGAGAAGTTCGTCGAAGGACTCATCGACCGCTCAAAGGGCGACACGATTGTCGATTACCGAAAGGGGGATGACGCGGTCGTCAAGGGCATCAAAGATGCGCTCAAGGGACAGAAACTGCAGTACGCATATGATGCCGTGTCGGAACACAACTCCTACACAAACATCGTGCAGGTGCTAGAGCCCACGGGCAAGCTCACGCTTGTTCTGCCCGGTAAGACGTACGAAGGTATTCCCGAGACTGTGCAGCAGACTCAGACGATGGTGGGCTCGGCGCACAAGGAAGATGCGGATTATGCGTTCATCATGTTCCGCTATATGGCAAGGGGCTTGGCGGAAGGCTGGTTTAAGCCGCATCCGCATGAGGTTATTCCTGGTGGTCTGCAGGGAGTCGAGACGGGTATGAAGAACCTGAGGGATGGCAAGGCGAGTGGAGTCAAGTATGTGTTTAAGATTGGGGATGAGTAGGAGAAGTTGTAGGGAAAACTCTATAGTAACCACGCAACGGACACCAACCAAAGTTCTCCCACAAGACCTCGCCGTCTTCTCTCTTGTAGCAGGTCATGCTGAACACTGGTTTTGCATCGCTTCCAGACCATAGCTCTTTCTGCACGCCGCTCCAATCTTGCTCCATGATGCTCGACAACGAGCTCCTCACCTGGAGCGTCGCGATCTGGGCCTGGTTCTGATCCAATTGAAACCTTGCTCGGATGATGTCGCGGACTTCTGCGCGGGTTGTTGTCGGCTTGATCGTTATCGGGAGTTCAGTTATGATGTTGTCGGTCAGCCCGGTTTCTGTTAAGAACTCCATGAGCTCTCGTTGCTTAGGTAAACGCGACGTTGTCTTCCAATATACCAGGACCTCCAGGTCCGGCTTGGGCGCCTCGGATGCACTTGCGACTTGATCTGGAACTGGAGCAGTCTCTTGTGTGGCTTCCGTTGCCCGCATCCAATGCGGGAGATTGGCATCGACGAAATGGACCTCGGCGTCCCAATTCCCAGTCCCGAACCTTGTGTTCCATACCGTAGGGCTCAAAGACCGGTTTAGATACATCAGGACATTGAAGACGCGACTGTACGGTTCTAGGTCGCTCTCACCATACTCGGTGTGCGGGCCGAAGCTCTTCACACTTACGTTCGATCGGTCAAACTCGGGTACTTCCTTTCCTGTCAGGGCCTTGAACGCACTTATGGCTCTGTTCTCCTGCTCTTGGTCGAACGGTCGTTGCCCAGAAGCAGCCTGCTCAATCTGCCTTCGCATCTGTGCGCATGCTAGAGCCATTCGTTGACAGGCGTGAATATCGTCGTTCTGCACTGGGTATACGTCGATGGGGCTTGCCTCCGACTCCATTTTCTCCTTACAGTCACGGATGTATTCTAGGACGTGGTTTTGGCGCACTTGGATCTTTCCGCGGTCGGTGAAAGCATTGACGTAGCTGTTCAGCACTAGACTGGACAAGACGAACTTCCGAAACTCGTCCCTGCGGCCGAACATGGCGTAGGAGCCGACCTGGCCTTCGACCCTGTGGACTTTGATGAACTCTTTCGGTTCTTTCCCAGGAGTGAGAACTTTTCCGTTGCCATCGTCCTTGCGGTTCCGAGCAATCTTTACCCTCTTGGCTTGCTTGCTAGAGCTTGTGCCCTTGGGAGTCGTGATCTTCTTCTTAGCGGCGGCGGCGGGGCGGCGCGTGCTCTTTGGGATTACCGGCTTCGGTGGCATGTTGGCTATGTTGGTGTCAGTGGGCTGAACGATAAGAACCGGTTTTGGCTTACCTGTCGATGTTGTCGGCGCAGCGAGCTTCGTATGGGACAACCCTTGGAAGTCTCCAGTCGGTGGTGATCGTGGCTTTATTGCCAGACGGATGGGCTCTTGAGAGTGGGAGACGTTGGATAGCACGGTCGATGCTCGACTTAGTGATGCTAGCGGACCCAGCGCTAGGGTAGAGGTGAAGGAGAGTGTCCGACGGGCTCTGCAGAACGAACGGCACGTCACCTAGACTTACTTGCGCTCGAGGAAAGCAAATCAGAGTGGCAGTAAATAGAAAGTAGCAGGGCTGAGGAGATTGGTGTAGGTGATGGAGTTTGGCTCGGTTGCTGTGGTCGATGTCGTCCTCTATCACCTGGTGAGTGAACAAGTGGTTCTAGCCACCTTGCGAGATTTTATCAACATGCTGACATTGCTCCTTGAAAGTAGATACTCACCAGACACGGCTGAGCAAAAGAGATGATCGTGAAACGTTGAAATGATGCTAGTAACAGAAAAACTACGCAATACTCGAGACATTGATACAAGTACATCCCAATGCAATCGCAACTGAATACGCCCCAGCAACTGCCATAGGCAGGGAGATTACCCAAACACCGACCCAAGCCTTCGTTAATGCTTCTAGATGGAGTTTTCCAAGGTTTTGAGAATGAGACAGATGCACAAGAGAATAACCTGGCGCCAGACGATCCCCAGATGAAAAACAAACAGAATGCAACTGGTGAGCAACGAAAAGCGAAAGAGTCGTTAAAAGCCCCAACGGTGGCGTCTCCAACCACCTAATGCCCCGATTAGCAAGAGGTAAATCAACGCCAGACGCTCTTAGAATTAGGCATGAGGCTACCTCTGGACGAAGAACCACTAGTGATCCGTACAGGCGCTCGCGCATTCAAGCTGGGCGGTGCCTCCCGCGGTCGATCGTCACCGACGTTCGCCAAGGTAGTGCGCCTTACAGCGCTTTTCATTATGGGCGTAACCCGCGGGCTGAGTACGCTGTTCTTCCAGTCAGCCTCGTGGACAGACTTGACCATGCGACGTGCTGCACCCGCGGAGAGAAGGGAGTTCTCGTTGGGTGGGCTACCAATAGTCGCTGCTGTCGGACTACGACGACGATGCGCTCGGTTCACAGGTACAGATCCACCGTTCGTGGAAGAACGACGCTTGATTGCGTGTCCGATTTGTCGGGCGTCTGATGGCGTCCATTTCTCTCCCTCTGAACTGGAGTGGCCGCTGTCTCCTTCTCGCGCGGGGCCCGACGAGGCGTTCTCTACATTGCTCAAGGATGAAGTGCGAGCGTTGTTGTAGATGTCGCGGAGAGGCGACGCACCATCGGAATCCGAGCCATATGCGTTGTTGGAACGAGATGTGGGGGATCCGTCCGAACGCTTAGATAGCGCGCCGACCGCAAAGCGCGATGAGCCCTTCAAATCTACAGAGGCTTTTGGTGGTGTAGGGATAGGCGAAGAGCCACCGCTTCCATCGTATTTCGGTATGGGGATGCCTGTCGAGTAAGTCGGTGCTGGCACTGGGGTGGAAGCCTGTGTTGGTGTTCCCGCTAGGTGTTCTGGTGTTTTCTGGAATTCCGCAAGTGTACCATTCTCAGTGTCGTCCCTCCAGCGTACCCCCCGCTTCGTCTTTGATGGAGACTTCTTCTTCTTCATCGGCGAGAACTGGACGCTCTTTCTGGCTCCTGCCATCAACTTTCGGCGTGGTGATGACTTCATTGGCGATGATGTAAGATGCGGCGCGTCCGCCAGTGTTGGCAAAGCAATTGGTCGCATGGGAGACGGCTCCATGATGTTCACTGGCTTCCTCCTTTTTGGTGTGCCTCTGTGGCTTGGCTCGAAGAACTCCGTCACTGGCAGGCCACCGTCTGGCCGAATAACCTGCGAAGTCGCGTTTGTACAAGAATTCATAATCTTTGTAAGCAGCTTCCTCGCCGCTTCCACCGCTTGGGCTTCATCCATTTGGGTGATCTGGCTTAGGATTGTGACAGTCTCGATGTGCGCCTGTACCAGCACCTGGACGATGGCAGCATCACCGCCCTTTTCCATGTCTAGCAGAGCATTGAGTTGTTCACGATCCGCATTCGATTTGAGTAGCTCGTACTCTCTTGTCAGGTTGGCAGCATCGTGGCCGTCAGCGTTGCCGTCCACCTCCGCCAGACCCTTCAGTCCAACATGCAGCGCTGTGTCCATTTTGCTCGTCCATACGGTACGCTCCAATCGCCTATGGCAATGTTGTCGCGTTTGTTCGAGTTCTGCGGAAATTCCGACTGCAGTATCTCTCATTGCTGTGACTTGGGCGGGCATCTCCTCGTTTTCGCGAACATCCTTCACGTTATCGAATGCTGCGATCCATGCCGAAATCATCGAGATGCGCTTCTCGGCCAGCTTCAAGGTCTTCGACATATTCAGCCGATCCCGACGGTCGGGCTCGGAGTCTGCATAAGCCTGGCGCAAGCGCACCACAGCGTCTCGCAAGATACCATCCTTCTTTTCGCTCTGCTTCTGAAACTTGACCAAGGCGCTTCCTTCGAAATCCTTCTGCTTTTTCATCAACTCCTCAATCAAGTGTCTCTGCTCATCGATCTTGACAAGGTAGTCCTTTACGTGGCGGTTGACATTATACACGTTCTTGGTGACCTTGGTCTGGATGTTCTTCGCGCGATTGGCGTAACGCAGGGTGTTCTGCGTCTCATCGAAATGCGCGCTTGATGGACTAACACAGACTATCATGACAGTTTTACAGTTTCCACCGAGAGAGAACTTGAGCAATCGCGTGAGTTTCGAGTTGCGGTATGGGATGTGGTTTCGCTTTCGGGGATCACATAGGGCGTTGATACAGCTTCCCAGCGCGAGCAGGGATTTGTTGATGTTGGCACCCTCCGTCAGACGCTCTCCACGGTTCTTCGTAGCGCTTGCACGCTCACTACCTGCCAAGTCGATGATGCTGAGGGTAGCCATTGTGTGGGGTTCGTTGACCGAGGCATTGCGGTCCTTGGAGGACACGTTGATCTGGAGTACGGCGTGGGATCGGGAAGAGGTAGCGTTCGCTTCGGTAGGTGACATGGTTCGGTACTCGTTGCCGCGGACAATAATATCCATGACTTCTTGGACCTGTGGTTGTTAGACGCCCTGTCGTGTAGTGTATCCCTCCTACTTACGCTCTGTGGTCGGTGGCTGGAAAGACCAGCGACAGATACAGCCTGGTTGGCATCCTCGCGGAGCATCAGGGGTTGTTTACTGCCGCCCTCTACAAGCAAGTCGCGAATTGTCTCGTTGTAGATTTCCAGATAGGAGAGCGTGATCTCGGTGACCTTTTCATCTTGTATGTCCTGGATCTTCTCGAACAGTTCTTGCATAGTCAAAAAGATAATGCCGGGCTGCTGCGACGTTCCCCTGTTGAAAGGTTAGTCCTCCTGCGAGTAACTAGCGGTGTACATGAACATACGTGATAGTATGTGTCTTTCCGCAACCTGTGGCGCCATATGCAAATACAGTCGCGTTGTATCCATCCAGCACACTGTCCAGCAGGGGCTTCGTCGTGGCTTCGTATACATCGCCCTGGGAGGTAGTGTCGTCGAAGACGCGGTCGAATGCGAATGTCTGGTCCTTTGATCGCTTGCCCTGGGGTCCTATTGTTGATCGTCCAAACCGTTGAACAGCGTTGTCTTCTGGGGGGTCGAAGATTCTGGTATAGGTCAGCCCTCATGCCTTGAAATGATACGTGACGTCTCATACAGGCACTTCTCGTCCATGACCTTGATGACAGGCCGGATGCCCTTGTGGAGCTTCGGCGCTGGCAAGCCCGCCAGCGAACCGTCTCCGAGGAACAGCGTTTGGTCATCGTTCCTCGTGACTTGGGCTGCCTCTCTGATAGTGAAAGGGCGGACTCGTACGGTGACGGAGATGGAAGACGCGCCCGCGGCGGCCATGACTGCGCCCAAGAAATGAAAAAAGCAGGTCAATCGCACTGCGCAGCCTCCTTTGAAAGCGTGGGGAACAGCCGCGAGCGAGGGTTTGGTGTTGCGGGCTGGAGTGCTCAATGACGATGTTCCAGCCGGAACTTCTGTTATGGGACGCACGGCCGCTGGTAAACAGACAGGGATCTAAATGCGGCAACCACGACCCTGCCGCCAAGCACGCCCTCTTATCCCCACAATTTCCGACGTGGCTGCGACACCACACGCCACATCACCTCTGTCGTGCCAACGGGCGCACCCGACTGTGTGCTACCTCGAATGCGAATGTTGCAGACCGTGTGATCCCAGAATAATACTACCATCACCCTCACTCTTTGGCAAGCCTTACTCGCTCGTGTCCCTGGTCTTGAAGTGCGTAAAGGGGCAAGTGGAGCATCACAGCATGTGGAGAGTGAAATGAGAGATGCGCATCTCATAAAAGGATTCAACTATCATGCAAACATCAAACATGCGTCCGGCATATCTTCGTAAATTCCATTCCCCGACTAACACCGCCTCCACCTCAAGTCCTCAACCCGTACCACCCATGGCCCGTTCACACTAATCCAGCTGATCCAATGTCTCGGCCTACATCAACCGCAATCAGTTTCTACTGCTTGGGCGGTGTGCACTTCTGCCACTGCACGTACACGACTTGGGTGAATTTGAGATCGGTAGAGTCAGTGGTGAGGAGACCAGTGGCGCTGGCGTTGCTGCTGGTCAGGCGGACCTGCGAGTTGATGTTGAGCATGCCGTTGGTGCCGCATGGCGCCCATACAACCGAGGTGCTGTCCGCCTCGTCGTGCTTGAGGTAGTCGCCGTTGGTTGGCCCGTCGAACTTGTACTCAGTCGAGGTCTATTTCGGGTATCAGCATATCTGGTCCACGCCACTGGAACTTGAATAGATCTTACCTGAGCAGTGTCTCCGGAGAAGTAGTAGGTAGACTTGAGAGTGCCAGAGACGCCCTTCTGGATGGCAGAGTAGCCACGG